TTAAATCAATATTGCATTGGCAGACATACGGCGGATGTGTGGAAAAATATGGCCTCTTGCCAACATTACCAGAAAATTGGTCAGGATTATGTACTAGGGTTATGCTGACACATAAAATGAGTCATATCTCTCTAGAAGAGGAAACAACAAATGAAGAAATAACTAGAACCAAAAGAGCAGATGAAAAAGACCCTGCAGATTATATAGATTCAGTTGGTCAACCTAAAGGCATGCCTAATGAGTTTAATACGAGAGATTAAGTTAAATTAGGGTTTTAATCAATATTAATTCTAAATAATAATAAAAAATAAATAAATAAAATTACAGAAGGGATTAATTAAATTACATAAAGTACAATCAGCAAAGATTTATTCATTATACTGATGAATTATAACTTATCACTTCTAGGAGAGCAATTGGACGCAACAAGCAGAATGACAGAGCACAATAGAATAGCTTTATATTATTTGTTAACTGAAAAAGGAAAAGTGTGTGTTATGTTTGGGGAACAATGCTGTATTGATATACCAAATAATACTGCTCCAGAAGGAGCATTTAGTGAAGGAATGATCAAATTAAAAACCCTAAGAATGGAAGATAAAGCAAATGCTGGAAAAGATAATCAAATGTGAGATTGGTTTGAGCTAAAGTTAGGAGCATAGTTAACTAAATGGGGAATGTTTTTAGGAATTGCAGTATTGATAGGAAGATAACTATTTTACTGTGTACTTCCTATATTGAGGTCACTAGTTATCAAAGCCACAACTAAGCAAATGAACATTCTAAGATGTCAATATGATGGGAAATTGATTTTTGAAGGTAACTAAAATGGCTCTCTACAATGTGCACGTTGTCTGAACTGAAGATCAACTATGCTATTTTTTGTGATGTTACATGTTTTATGTCTTGAATTTGAATGTCTGTTGTATACTACATAACTGTGACAACCACAGGCAAGCGCTGAACGAATTGCACGCTCATGCGTATAACTTTTTGTTTTGTCTTAAATGAGGGATTAGAGAGATGGGGATCTTTTACTCCCTCCTAGTCAAGTGTGGAGGGAGAAGTTTGGTCCTGCTGCTCTGCCAGAGTGCTGTTACATAATCTAGTCATTGGTGATAAAACTGTGTGACTTAATTTAGTCACTAGGTAGTGATAACTGATAAGACTGAATTATGAAGCTGCACTCTGGGTAATGACAAATGATGATGAGATTTAGTAAGTCTCAAAGAGGGGAATGTAGAAGATTTTAATTAATCAAAATGTAAATTGTTCAGGTGTAATCGGTGTGAATGTGGCCATTTATGTATTAAGTTATTCCACTATTATAATCATGTGTATTTGTCTGCATGTATAGAAATCTGTATGAGAATGGAATGTGCAGACATATGGTGAAGTACATGATAAGCACATGATGGCACATAATGGGGCCCTTATTTTCACAGAACATAAAATTAAGGCCTCATGACTGCATCGTGATGATCCCATAACAAATATGAATGAAACCATTAAACAAGCCAAGAGAGCGAACAGTATATAAGAGAGTACAGAAAAAGAGTCTGGAGATTGCTCTGCAGAGTTCTCTCAGGTTTTATTGTCTCTGATAATAAAATCTCTTCTGGCATCAAAATCCCAAGACTCTGAGAAAGATTCTTCACAATAGCGGCAGAAGCCACCACACAAGCAGAAAAAGCTTCCCATACATGTCTGTCAGACAAAGTGCAAGCTTTTATCAGGCGTATGTACGATGTCCCCTCCACAAATTCAGGACAAGAGCCATTCTTCTACTACCGTCTGTGAGGGAACAGACCGTGGATGTGTGATACGTTGAAATGGAAATTTTGGGGCAAATTATCAGCTGTCCAAGGCTACATAGCCTAATAAGCGCTCAAGCACTCGCATAAAGCTTGCCTCAGCGCACCGCAAGAAGTAATGATTATGAATGAATCAGGGAAAAACAGTAAGGAGGCTGCATTAACATTTTAATAATTTGATAAACTCGTGCTTTCTTCATTTTTGGTTTAAGAGATGAACTTGGCGACACCGACTCATCAGTAGTTGACGCACATGTATGCATGTTTCATACGGATTGCATAATCTGATTCCATTTGAATTGGTTCATTTGAAAGTAGACATTTCACTCTCTACAGATTTAGTTTTAATGTCTGTAAGGCAAAGATATACACAGTTTCACGCTCAAGTTCACAGAGACCGAGACGGCAGAAAGCGCATCCTGTTTGCTTTCAGTATTTTACAAAAGCACAATGTTTCGTAGTTATTGTGAGTGCACAGAAATAAACGTAGAGTCTTTACAGATGTGAAAGATGCATCTTATCTTAGCGCCTCCATCTGTCCTGCAGTGAGCTACTGTTCAGCTTCCATACTCAGGGGCGGAGTAAGCTTGGTAGAACAACAGTGAACTGCGTCTGATGAGATGTTGTTAGGCTATATGTCAGTAAAACAAACTTTCCTGTCCTGTCAGCCGTACTGTGCTCAGGGCGCACACGCTTCAGTATGAGGCACACGCTCTATATCGCCTCATAAATAAAGCACACAAAAACTATGAGCATACAATGTAGTTCTGTTGTCAATTAAGTCATGACATTACCAAAAAGTTGCAAACTGTGCATGCATGTAGGCTATATATGCATCACATTAAAGAACATCTCTCCAATGCATATAAAATATAGCCTATTCTGCAACTCGAGATCACAATATGAGGCGCAAGCTGATAGGCTACGTCTTTTTATTTGTAATTTAATGCACAAGTAAAAGTGAGCACAGTGCACTTATACTAAAAACTATTTTTTTTTTAAATTCTCGTTCATTTGTAAAGTACAAAGCCAAATGAAACAATTTAAATGCATAAAATAGCTCATTTTGCTTTCTGGCATTTATGTGCTGTTGACTTTTTCCACTTTCTTCTATATCAAAATGGAAATATGATAATATTTTGTAATTATCATTTAAATCTGACTAATCTTAAATCAACATCTCAGGAAAATGTTATGGGGTTTCAAATCAAAATATGACTTTCTGTTACGAAACCGGACGTTGATTTCATGCATGTGTGCACATGAGCATGTTTATTACGCATTTTGGGAGACACAACAAATGAATAGGGAAAGAAATTATATTTCAATATTCCTATGAAATATTAGATATTATTATGAAAATCTTGTCAATTATTACTCCCATTATTACACTTCTTTTTTCATTACACGTTGCCCCAAAAACACATTAATATGCAAATTAGATTTAGTTTAGAGATACATTATATATAATGAGAAAACCCGTTTATGTCCATTTTTCATAAAGATATTCTGTTATAACATAGTTGAGAATTATCTTTATACAAAGCAATTGTTTTTGCCTATGCATGTTCATTCATGTCTTTTTATTTTATTTTTAAAGAATTGAGTCCCGATGTCCTCTACCAAGGACGTAGCATAACTTATGAATAAAATATCATTTTTTTTAATGCTCTAAACAATGTAATGACATGAAGAAAATACTACTAAATACTTACTATGTTTTGCCGGGTCTCAAGAGGCTAATTCACAAATATCTCAACTACAATTAAGTAGAAATTAATTGTATTCAGTTGTGTTTTAGGTACTAAAACAGTCCAGTAAACCTGCAAATTGAATTGTAAATAGAAATCGTGACGGTCTTCAGACGGAGCGTAAACATCAATAAGCACGGGACCATCAGCTCCCTAAGTTATCTGTTAATTCTGCTAAACTTCAATTACTCAAACTAAACTATATAAAAACTAAATAGAAATGTGTTCACAAAATATGAACTAAACTGAAACTAACAAAATGAATAATACAACTAATAAAAACGAAACAGAATGTTACAGCAAATTTGAAAAGGTTTCTTAGAATCAAAGTGTTATTCTATTTATCGTTCTGTCACGCGAATGAATGAAATGGTCAAATGAAACGATTTAAAATGGGGCCAAAATTCCATTGGAATTTCTTTTTATTATAAAGGAAATGTTGGAATTACACGGTCTTAAAATACAGCAACATTTTTCAAGAGAATGCTTGTTTATGAACACTTTGTTAAGATACATTTGTGGGGTAAAGAGACATTTTAGCTTGTAGAAAATGTAAATATTACAGTAACTGTGCATTCAAAACACATATTAATCGAGATGAGAATGTCCTGTAACAGGGTGGACATTATTACTAAACTATTATATAATACCCTGAGCTGGACCAATGTATTTTTCTTGTAGTCTAGCAAGCCCATCTTCACATTAAATGATTACATCATGAAAATTAAAAAAATTAAATGCCACCGAATAGTAATAATGACCCATATAATGGTAATAAATTATATATAGACATTTTATACCTATTTTCAGGTATTTTACAGACTCGAATGAACTTTTCCACATTTTAAAAATGAGACAAACACTAACTCGTCGTTTCAATACTGAAAAATAATGACCTCTGCTTTAACTCACATTTGTATTTTAATCTAATTTCTATCTGGTATAAAATGGTTTCCTCATCCGAACATAATCTCACACGCTAGTTGTTTCCTAATGTTCTCAGCACATGATGGAACAACATACATTTAAATGTTTTTCGTGCATAGATTAAGCTCTGAATTTCTGTCAACTCTTTAATTGTTTGTATATCATGTTCTGGATGTATTTTAGACAGCAGTGTGTGAAATGCACCAGAAGTTGGTTTGCCATCCACCATAAAACGTTATTAGAAGAAGAAGACAGCAGGGACTTTTATTGTGGCGCAGTGATGTGAGGTCACAAGTGTGTGCCGTGCTCCTGCATCTTTTGTGAACCGACTGAAGAAGGGTTTGTGTTTAAAGCACTGAAATTGTAGAAACCGTTTTACAAGTGATGGAAAAACTTAAACCAATAGACATTTTTTAAATTAAAGTACAGTCTGATACATGTGGTCAACAAATCATTAGATACAAAAAAAAACTTTCATTATAAATTGTTATTTTATAAATGTTGCAGTGCTAGTTTTGAGTGTTTTTGTCTAATCAGGTGCCTCTCACTTGGGACTCCCTCACTAGTGCGCTGACTACTGAACTAAAGAGCACTGATTGAGACGCACCCAGAGCTTCAGTTCATTTTTCTTTCAGTTCTTCTCATCTTAATCAGGACAGAGTGTCCAAACACAGAGAAACTCCCGCTGAAGCGACTGAGAGCCTCGGCACACACTTATAAAGATGGCGTTTATTAAAGAGGAGACTGAAGACTTCAGGATTGAAGAAGTGTTCAGTCTGAAACAAGAAGACACCGAGGAACAAACAGGTTGGTTTCATTCTCAAAGCTCAGCTCGCTCGTTTGATCCAGTTATTAAAATCTTCAGCTCTGCAGGAATGAATGATATTTATGAAGAATGTAATGCCTAATTAAAGTGGTTTTATTTGACATGGAGCGGGGCCGACCCGTGTGGACAGACATTAAATAAATAATGCAGAAGTTGTCTAAACAAAAACATTCCTATGTGTAACATTAAACCCAATGTTTATTTCTGACATGAACACAATGAAAACCATTTATTTCTATCAATTAATTATGCAACAGTATCTAAAGAAAACATTTATTTTGCGTAAGGCAAACATTGAAACGTTAGTGATTAACTTTACATTCGGTAGAGTTACTGCTGCTGTCCACATTTGTTCTTCATTTAGAGGGCTTTGATGAGCAAATAAAACCGCCAGTGGGCACTAAATTGATAAACTTATTTTTAATCAAACTGTTTGAATGTTTGTGAGTGACAGGCAGTTCAAATCAAAGTCTCAAACTGAAGAAAACATCTGTCGTGACTTTCTTCTGGCAAGCTCAGGTGTAAATGTAGCATAAGTTGATC